CGAGGTCTTGCTCTGGCTCAGGCTGGTCTCAAACCTGTGAGCTCAGGCAATCTGCCTTGGCCTCCAGAGTGCTAGGATTACAGGCATGAGCTGCTGCACCTGGCCCAATTTTTTTTAATTCTTTATTAAATCATAACTGTGTACATGAATGCATTTCTGAGGTACAATGTGCTGATTTGATATACAGTGTGGAATGCTTACATCTAACTGATTAAAATAACCATCTCCTCCCTTACTTATTTGTTGTGCTAAGACTTTCATACTCTATTCTCAATAGTTTAGAAACGTATAGAGTCTTACTGTGACGCCTAGACTGGTACTGTGTTTTTTTCTGTCTAATACATCTTGGATTTTCTTTTCCCCTCTGGCTGTTTATGAAGTTTGTGTTTCATTGCAGTGTTTAACTGTGTACCTTTACACTGCCCTTGATTTTCTTTTGTTTCACCTAAGCTTTTACTATCTCAAACTTTTTAATGGCTCCCATGTCTCAGAATAAAATTCAATGTCCTTGCTATGGTCCACAAGGCCTTTCATAGCCTGTTTTTTGACTATTCATCTGCAGTTATTTCTACTGCTCTACACTTAATCACTAAAAGCCAGAAACATATCTTTCTTGTTCATCCTCAAACGTGTTCCCATCTGAAAGCCACTGCACCTAGATTTTCTCTATCTGAACATCCTTCCCCCAAATTTTGACCCAATTCAATATCTCACTTAATTTTGGTCTCGGCTCAAATTCCACGTCATCGTCAAAAAAGCCCCTTAACCTAACTTTATTTTAAACATCACCCCACATCATTCTTCAGCCTTTAGCATAATGTTTGATTTTTTTCTTCAAAGCTTGTGCCACTACTAACAATTATTAATATTAACCACTGGTAAATTCTGAGAGCTGGAAAAAATTTTTTTAATAATCCCTTCAACTGAAGAATACATTTTTCATGGTTTCTGGACATCATATTAAAACGCTGGTCCAGCTAAAATTCTAAAACTTGAAAGTCTGGATTTTGAGACTTTCAAGTAGAGAACAGAAGTGGAGGGGTATCTGGCAGTGAAGATGCAAGTGGTTCGCCCTGACATCTGACCTGAAAACCAAGTGACAGCCCTAAGATTTTCCGTAGACTGTTTCTGCATCCCAGTTTGCAAGTTACATCTACATCCTATTGTGATAATATATGGGGACCTGTTTTCTTAAGTTCTCTGGCCCATTCTATCAGGAACCTAGGATAAGGGTACATTCTGAATCCATGAGTAAAATATGTGCAGTGAGAAATCTCCAGCATGGAAGCCTAACGCCAGCTGTCCATGCAATTTTCCGACTTCATGCTACATAAAGCAGAGAAGAGGGACATCGTGAATTGATGAGGTATAGTTCAGTAACCGGGGGATGTAAAGTTTGTGCCAAATGAAAAGACAACTGAAATTGCCTTTTAAGCACTAGCATAATCTTGTAATTCTGGCAAGTTTGTGAGTGAGACATAACCTGATCCCAAGTGATGCCCACAATCTGTGGTTGCATTGCAGAATCCTGATGTCAAAGAATTTAGTTCCAATAAATTTACTCCAACTTCTATGGGACATAAAATACCTTTATGAACAGTAAAGGCTATTGTATCCTGGTGAGCTAATACTAAGTACAAGAATATCTCCAGGGCGAGAAGGGGTTGGAGAATGGATCATGAGAAAATAATTCTTGGTATGGTTCTCCAGGGCTGAAGAATAAACCAGATGGTAGTATATTTGAAAAATAGGGAAGAATAAATTACAGCTATTTACATTTCTGCTCTGAAGGCAGTGCCTGGGTTTTCTGTAGGATGACTTCTTTGCTAAGGATTATTAACTTGAGAGCAGAGAACTACCAACAAATGATATTTTAATGATTAGCATAAAAAAAAGTGTTGCTTTTGCTGTGATTCCACTGGGGAAAAAAACTTATCTTGGTAGAGAGATTTTGATCATATTTTAGAAACTCTGTGGAATCTTCTCATTAAATGAAATAAGAATGCATTTCAGGAAGAGAAATACTAACACGCATTGTTCTTTCAGAAATTATTCAATTCAACAGATATTTAACAAGGCCTTGCTATGGTCATGACATGGCACTGTGCTAAATACTAAGGTGACATAAAGAGGAATAAAATATATCCCTTGACTGCAAGGCATTTATGATTTTGTGAAAAATATTTCATAGGCTAAATCTTTTGTATTGTCTAATAAGAGATAGTAACACTAAAGAAATGACCCACCCCCATCCATGTTTATAGTAGGGGTTCTTTAATCTCTGCTTTTATGACCTTTTTAGCTGAAAAAGAAATCTACAAACTCCTTCTGAGAATTGGCAAACAACCTGCAATGTTGGGAAAATGTAATCAACAATGATGAGAAAACAGGATGGACTGACTAATGAGGTAGAAAGACTTTTGATTGCCTGGATATGTGATAAGACAGTTGAATCTAGATGCTTAGCAGCCAAAGACTGATTTTTGCAAAGGATTGGCATAACATACAACCCTTCACAAAAGGAAAAGTAAGACATCCAGAAAAGACATTTTTAGCTTGACCAAGGGGATATTTGATCACTCCAGGAAGAGAATCTATTGATATAACCTCACAGTTCAAGGAAAAGCTACAAGGAATGATGGTGCTGTGGAATATAAAAATCATAATAATAATAAAACAAAACAATGGATAGAGATTGGATATGAAAGAAGACTCCTTGGAGGAGGTGGATTTAATCCCAGCCTCAAAGGACATGGACAGGTAGGGTCTGTAGAAAAGAATGATTGAGTCAGAGGAACCACAGTGAGCAAATATATGAAGCCCGAATCTTTGCTAGGAATTTTGCTAGGAATTTATCTTCTGGGTTGGTCAGAGCTGAGAAAGCACAGAAAATTTGCAAGTAGTTTACAGAGGGTTTTATTCAATAAGCAATGAAGGGAATGCAGCATGGAAAGAATGAGGTCAGGGCTTAAGAGTCAGTAAAGGTTAAGTAGAATATGTGCTACAGTGGTCCAGACCAGAGGAGAGGAGTCATGCAGTCCTCTGCAGTAACTGGCATATCGCTGAGCAGGCATCCGTCAACCTTTCATCCACTCAGCACTTGATTATTAGCCTGGCTACCACATTCAAGCATCTGGAAAAATGGAGAAATAGTCTGTTGTTTCCAATGAATATTTAAAATGATATTATTTAAGTATTTAACATGTAATATAGTATATTATGATATCTTAATAAGTAGTATATTAATTAATAATATTTCAAATAATAATTATCAATTGGTCATGAATTTACAAGATGTTGGGAGTCATCCAGGTTCAGCGGCCTGACCACATTGAAATGGTTTGCAAGCCACTCCCAAAAATACCAGTAGTCACAGGATTACAAATTTCATAAAACAAACAAGTAAACAAGCATGGCTCTTGGTTACGTCTCCATATTAATTGTATTTTTTTTCCACTGAGATTGAAATGGTATCTAGAAAACCAGACGATTTAATCAAATCTCAGGTTTGATGACCCCAGAAGGCAATCAGAAACCTGCAAAAGACCTGTTCTTTTTGTATATTTTCGATGCATGAAGAAAAATCCTTCCCAGAAGCCAAACAGCCTAAGCCATGCTCAACTCACTATTTAGGCATTACCCAAACAAGTACAGTGTAGGCAATAACTGCTTGACAGAGATTTGGAATCAAGAAGAGGAAAAGAGCCTTTGGTTGAAAAGGGTATGGTGATAGTTAGCCTCACAGAGCCGTGCATGGCCCAGCCTGCCTTCCTCCTTCCCCGCAAGGAGAGAGATCATCTGGCTTCAAGCCACTGGGGCAAGAGCCAAATGCAGCGCACGAGCTTGCTCATGATGCAGGTAGGAGGTCCCACCGAGCAACATGTTCTGTAAAACCTTCGGCAGCAGATAGGGGCGACCATATGCTCCCCTTCTCGTTTTCTGCTTGTCATTTTCTATTCCCCTCTCCCTAGTTAGGGATGTTCCTTCCAACAAGAAACCACCACAAGCTACACATCTCAGTGTCCCGAGCCGGAGTTGGGAATTTGAAGTGACAAATCAAGACAATAGTTTTGCTCTCCTCTCTTTGCACTTTTTTTTTTTTTTTTTTTTTTTTTTTTTTTTTTTTTTTTTTTTTTTTTTTTTTTTTTTTTTGCCACTCTTAATCCAGAGCATGAGAATCAAAGCTCTTAAACAAGAACAACAACAAAAATATCCTGCCGAGGAATTACATCTCCCTCAGCTGTGCAACGTCTCTGTCGGATGTTCTCCCACCGAGCGTGTGTTCCAAGGAACTTCACCTTCGTCAGTAATTTGTGTCTCAGCTGGCACTGCTTTTTGAGGAAAACCTTGATTCTCAGTTTCTAGGGAACACACAAAGGAAGTTCTTACAAGATGGGGATGAGGGGGTGTCCAATGAGAGACAGCCATAAACTTCTGTTGGAGGGGTGCCCTAGAAGCATAGGCCGCCCTAGACGCTTGCTTGGTCAGCAGCTTTGAGAAGAAGGATTAAAGGTACTAAAGTCTGTCAGATCTTCCCTCCTCAAGGGAAAAGCCTGTCATGAGAATAAGTCAATACTTGGGCTAGAAATCCGTGGACGGGGGGATTTGAACATGTATACAATAAAGAACGTGACCCAAGCACATTGTACCCCATGATTGCATTAATGTACACAGTTATGATTTAATAATAATAAAAAAAGAACATGACCCAAAAGTTTCTCTGCCTGATAAGAATTTATGTGTAAGTATCTGAAAAAGCATTGTGAACTGAAAAGGCACCTTGTCACTGGAGTCCCTGCTTAAGGTCTAATTTCCTTAAATTTTAAGCACGATTCATCCTATTGACCCATCTCTGCGTTTTTCAGTTTTATTCACATTTAATTCCATTAATAGCATTTCATAAAGAATATCACCATGTGCTCACTTTGGCAGCACATATACTAAAATTGGAACATTAGGGAGATGCGCATGGCCCCTGTGTAAAGATGACACACAAATTGATGAAGCGTTCCGTATTTTTTATGAAGTTAGTAGATGAGCTAATACAATGGGGGGAAAGGAAATGAAGGAGTAGAGAAGGGAGGGGGTGGGAGGTCACAGTGTATGGCACACCTCTTGGGGGTAGGACACAATTATAAAAGGGACTTTATCTAACAAATGCAATCAGTGTAAACTAATTATTTGTACCCTCAATGAATACCAAATGATAAAGAAAAAAAGAATATCACCCTGAATAGAAACATCTTTTGTGCATATTAATCAATAATATCTTGAAAATCAAATGTTGGTTTCTGCCACATACAGCACAAGACTGAGCTTGGTCGCCCTGGATGGCATGTCCTTACTTAGGAGCATAAAAATGGTGTTGCTCCTTGAAAAGATAGAAGTGGAAAAAGTCTTTCCTCAGAGAAAACACTTCTTCCTACTCTCTCCTAGGGACAATTGCTTTTCTTGGCTGGAATTGAAAAGCCTACCTCTCACACATAGCCTTCTAGAAGCACTGCTGACTTGCTCATTATTTTAAAATCCTGGTGTCCATGTGGTGACCCTGGTTGTATTACTGCCCCAAAGTATGATAAAACCATTATTACCGGGAAATCCAGGATCATGAAGAGATTCATAACAAAGTTTTCTCATAAAGTTTGAGGCTTCCCCCTAAAGTACTTGAATTATATTTTAACCATTTTGCATGAAAACATTTGGAAATGTGTTTTTAAAGTCATTTTTAAAAATTTAACACACATCTCCTCACTGCCAAATGTAATTGATACAAAAATCACACAAAGTAAAAATGCGTTTCTTTTTTATATTAAGTTTTCATTTCTCAGCTAAAATTCTCCATCTGTTTGAATTGTCTACTATCTCCACTAGATCCTTTATCATATTTTAATCATAGTTATTTCACAGTCTTTGACTTCTAACTCCAACATCTGGACTGCTTTGATTGGCTAATATTTCACTGGATTATAAATCCCCTTTCCTGTGTCTTTGCCTATCTCATAATTTTTGGAAGCATTCTGGACATTCTTGTGCATAAAAAGAATCAAGATGAAATAAAGATAAACTCTTTGAAAAGAGTGTATCTCTTCCTCTTCAGACTGCTGATGTGGAAAGTTGAGTCAATCTAATCATCCAATCTACAACTGAGCTGGATGTGAGATTTTCTGCTGCCCCAGTTCAATATACTTTACCACTAACATCAAACAACTTGAATGCAGGATCAGGGATTAAGCGTCACTGAGACTTGGGATCTGTTTATTAGTGATAATCACAAAATTCCTCTAGACTCCATAATCCAGCTTTCTGCCCTCCAAATTGGGAGTGATTTCTCTTTCTCTCTTCTCTTGATAGCACAGCCATAAGCTATTAAGGTAGGATACATTGCCCTCCAGTTCCGTACATAATTTTCTGTGCCTTGTGAAATCTCGCCACCATGCTAGCCTGCCACCAGCTTTCAGCAGACTGATAATTGACTCTTAGTGACGTCTCCAAGCTCATCTGAGAAAATCTTTCTCAGATCTCTTGCCCTCCTGCAGAATTTGGCACTTGGTGAAGGTGCTGTGGAAAGGGTTGGAGAGTGAGTGCAGACTTGCTTTCACTCGGATTTGCTCAGGATTCTAATCTGGCGTGCCAGCCCATACCTGCTCGTGAAAGCTTGGTAGAAATGGGGCTTGTTTCTCCTTACTCCCACGATGGCACATTTGGCTCTTCCTTGGCCACGGCCTTGGGAACAGCAACAGCTGTGGCAGGGCTCTCGCCGAGCAGTAGCTCATCTCTTTCTGTTAGTCACATATACATTTCTTTGCGTCTTCGGCACTGGTGGGGTTTTGTAGAAGTATAATTCTATGGCTGAACCAGCTTAATCTCATTGTCAGGTGCGAGCAAAAGTGTCTTACAACTTTCTACATTCTGGAAACACAAGTCATACAGGAAAAATTTAAAACCTGCTTTGCTGTTCTCCAGATGCCTCCAAGTGCACACACACACACACTTGCTTATTGTTATTTGTTTTAGTGTGTGCATATGTGTATGCCTTTTAAAATAAATACTTATCTTGGTATGCATTCTCTCTACAACTCGAATTTGAATTTTCTTTTCCTCAACAATGTGGTGGGTGTGTATTTCCTTGCCAGTACAAGCAAAGCTACCTCATTCCTTTGAACAATTGTATAGTATTCCATTGTGTTGGCTTAGCATCATTGATTCCAGCAATTTCTCACTGATGGACATTTGGTTGCTAAGTATTTAATACCATAAATAATGTGGCCATGAGCAACTTTATAAAGGTACTCAGAGCATTTCCAAGGTTGGATTCCTAATACTATAATAGCTGGTTTGAAGGTGTGTACTTCTTTTCAAGGATGGCATTGAACACAACATCATCTCTTTTTGTATTGTTTTGTGGCATCATTATGATTTTTTTGTTTTGCTTTTATTAAATCATAACTTTACATTGAAGCATTTATGGTGTTCAGTGAACTGATTTGAGATACAATGTAAAATGCCTACATTGAACTGATTAACACAGCCATCACAATTATACTCTTGTTGCAATAGTTTTGAAATGTACCGTTGCATCATGCACATTGTTATTACTGTATTGCTGTCATGTCCTCAGTGCTCATTGGCAAATATTGAGCTATTTGACCCTGTGAACAAAAGGCCTGAGAGCAGAGTAACCCAGAGTAGATTCTGTGGAGCACAGGACTCATGAATGTTCCATAAAAAGAATTCCATGGTCAAGTTAGACTGAGAATCCCAGTAAACTACTCCATCCACTCTACTTTCTTAGAGATTAAAGCCTCTGAGAGCTCTGAAAAAAGAGAGCGAGTAATTTATCTGTATTTAACTCAGTGTTTTCCACACATTTTGATCAGGAAACTCTTTTATTGTCTATTACCTATTGCGAATTTTTGGAATACAATTTAGAAAACGCCACTCTTAACAGTTTTCTTCTTTTAAAAATAAATTCAGATGTTTCTGTTTATTCAATTTCTTCTCTGGTAATTAGGCACTTAGCACTTTCCACAGTGAATTGCATTTTCTCCTAATCTGCTATTTCAGAAAGGAATTTTTGCTTAAAGATGGGGAACTTCCATGCTTGCTATAATTGTTTATAAACTAGAAATAAGAAAACTTTAAAAGGAGCCTGAAGAGCTATCCCATAAGTCAAGGATGAGCGCTTTTAATGTTTGAACTGTATGGAACCTATGTGACCTTCATGAAACCTTTCTTTTCTTTTTTCAAAATTCTTATTTGTATTTTCATAAATGAGATATGATGATTTGGCAATCTCTTGAAATTCAGATTTAGAAAGCTCTCCCACTCATCTAAGGTTTAGATAGAGGGAATATTCTATCAGAAGAGGAAAAATATAAAAATTCATCAATCTTATCCATTTTAGGTATCAGAAAAGATCTGTACAGTTAAACATGGGAGACCTTGTGTTAGGTACAATCACTATTGATTAAGAACTTACTATTTGCCAGTCACTGTGCTAAAACTTTTACCTGAATCATTCCATTTCACGCAACAGACTAGGAAATACTGTCATTATCTCCTTTGGAGAGGTAACAAAACTTGGGTAAGTAAAACTAAAAAAAAAATTAAAAAAGTTATTTGGAGTCACAGAGCAGATGAAAAAATAAATGACAGAGGTGAGATTTAAACCAAGTCTATCCACTTTCAAAATTTGTCTTTAACCACTCCATTTTCTGTCTACTGTGCATGAGTGTGTGTGCATATGTGTGTGTGTGTATGTGTGAGAGAGAAAGAAGACAGAGACAGAGAATGAGAGGGAATTAGCCACAGCTGTTGTTTGGATATTTCAGATTAACTAAAATAAGAGTCAGAGGTTGAAACCTGGGCCAAGCCAGGGTAGAATTTCCCCTTGTCAGTCATCCTCAAATCCCACTGATATGCTGTACTCATTTCTCCTCTGGAGTTTCCATTGACAGCACTTGCAGAATATGCAATAGAAATCTTCTCGTTGATAAAGGATTTTTTTCCTTCTAGGTAGATGCCCAGCAATGGGATTGCAGGATCAAATGGGAGGTCTAGCTTGAGTTCTTTCAGTATTCTCCAGACTGCCTTCCCAAAAGGTGGTATTAATTTGCAGTCCCACCAGCAGTGTAAAAGTGTTCCTTGCTCTCCACATCCATGCCAACATCTGCAGTTTTGAGACTTTGTGATGAGGGCCATTCTCACTGGGGTTAGATGATATCTCAGGGTGGTTTTGATTTGCATTTCTCTAATTATGAAGGACACTGAGCATTTCCTCATATGTTTATTAGCCATTCATCTGTCTTCTTTAGAGAAGGTTCTATTCATCTCTCTTGCCCAATGATCTAAGGAATTATTGGCTTGTTATGTTTATTAATATGAGTTATCGGTAGATCCTAGTTATCAAGCTTTTGTCTGAGTCAAAATATGCAAATATCCTTTCCCAATGTGTAGATTGTCTGTCTGCTTTCGTTATTGTCACCTTAGCTGTACAGAAGCTTTGCAGTTTCAGTAAGTCCCATTTGTTTACTATTTATCGCAGCTCAATTTACAATAGCCAAAATGTGGCAACAGTCTAAATGCCCACCAACTTATCAATAGATCAACAAGCTGTGGTTTATGTATACCATGGAATACTACTCAGCCACTAAAAAAGACAGAGACTTCACATCCTTTGTATTAACCTGGTTGGATATGGAACACATTACTGTTAGAAAAGCATCACAAGAATGAAAAAATAAGAACCCTATGTACTCAATTCTGATATGAGGTCAATTAAGGTCCTAGTACACAGTGGAGGGTAGGGGAGGGTAAGAGCTGAGAAAGGGAAGGGGGGGTCAAGGGATGACGTACACCTTTTGGGGACAGGACACAAATATAAGAGGGCCCTTATCTAACAAAAGCAATTAATGTAACCTGATTCTGTGTGCCCTCTATGAATTCCCAATAATAAAAAAAAGAAAGAAAGAAATCTCTGTAGATAAAGGAACTAGAGAGATCTCTGAGCTAAGGAAGGGA